AAGGACTGTCTTTTTACAATACTTGAAATAATTCTTCTCTGTTGTGGTTATATATAAATGAATAAATGTCATTGATTTCATTTTGCTTTTGCTTTAGATATGTATTTTATTGTGATTTTATATATATGGGTGTGTTTTATGCATCCATATGCAAACCATTTCCATGATTCTCAAGTTATATCTACAAAACAAGAAGTATTTAGTGAAGTTCAGTTTCCATCCATGTCCCCTTCCTCTTAATAATTTTTATTTGCCTGTTCTTTCATTTTTCTAAAATTTAAAGCAAAAATAGTCATTCCCTTTTTTAAAAAAAGGTAACACACTCTGCACTGTTTTACACCTGCTTTTTTCACTTAATGTATTCTAAAAATCACTTCATGAAAGTATGGAGATTTCTATTGCAGCTGCTTAGTATTCCACTGAGTGAATACACAGTAATGTATTCAGCCATTCCTGAATTGGTGGACATGAGTCATTTCCACTCTTTTGCTATTATAGGCAATGCTTCAATAAATATGTCTTTTTACATTTTTGTCAATGTGTCTTTAGTATTGTATCAGTTATGTAGCTTTTGCTACATGTAGCACAGCACCTCAAAACTTAGTGGCATAGAGCAACATCATTATTAGTCCAAGATTCTGTAGGTCAGCAGTTTTGACAGGGTTCAGCCATATCCTTCCTTCTGCTGTTCTCACTCATGTGACTGAAATCAGCGGTCAGCTCTGCCAGAACTGGATAGTCCAAGATAGACACAATCACCTGTCGGAGGTTGGCAGGCAATCAGCCAAGTTGCCTCAGGTGGCCTCCCACCCTCCAGTAGGTGAGCTAGCATTCATTTATGTTCTTGTGGCATGCTCCAGGGTCCCAGCACATCAGGAGAGAGCAAGCCCCAAAGCTCATGTACTTTTCAATTTTCTCCTTGCATTAAGTTTGCTCCTGTCCTATGGCACTGGACAAGCCCATTGTCACTGGGAAGAGGAGATGACCCAAAGATGTGCAGACAGGCAAGGGCATTCCAGCAGCCATTGCAAACAGTTGACCACAGAGATAGATGCCCCCAGAGGCAGGATGGTTGGGTCACAGGGCATAGTCAAATGTAAAATTGCCAAATCCCACCCCGGACCCTAGAGATTAAACATATTTGCATTCCCTCCAACTATAAATGAAAATGTCTGTTTCTCATAGTGTCACCAAGAGTGGGTTTTCAAACTCATATTTTTGCCAGTAGAAAAGATGAGGAATATCTCAATGGCATTTTAATTTGCATCTTTCATTATGAGGTTGAACATTCCATTCCTTTCATATGCTTAGGAGCCATTTGAATGTTGTGTGTGAACTGCTTATATGTTTTGTCCATTTTTCCAGAGTGAGTGGTTGTCTCTACTTTTACAAGTTTTTTTATATATCAGGAATATTAGCCCTTTCTCACGGATATAAATTACAAATATTTTTCGCAGTTTGTCTTCATACTTTATTTTTTAACTAGGCAAAGGTAGTCAAATTTACCAATCTTTAGTGTTTCTGGATTTTGAGCCATTGTTAGAAAACTTTTTTCTATTACCAAATAATGGGGGAATTCACCCATGGTTTCCAGTATTTGTGGGTATCGGGGGCAGGTATCCAATTATCCCATTTTCCCTTGTAAAGATAGGGCCTATATCGTAGGCTAACTTTCTTTAAGGGGTTTGTATTCAGTTGACTTTTTTTTTTAAGATTTTTATTTATTCATTTGACAGAAAGAGACACAGCGAGAGAGGGAACACAAGCAGGGGAAGTGGGAGAGGGAGAAGCAGGCTTCCCGCTGAGCAGGAAGCCCAATGCGGGGCTCGATCCCAGGACCCTGGGATCATGACCTGAGCTGAAGGCACTTAACGAGCGAGCCACACAGGCTCCCCTCAGTTGATGTTTAAAGTATGACTAAACCTAGGTAACAATGTGAATTAGTCAAATTCTGTATTTCTTTTCTCTGTCTTCCCCTTTGCTATAGCATAGCTGAATCTATACTCCCTTTTAAAACCAAAGTAAACTCCATCTCCTGCCCAGCACTGTCCAGTGAGTCAGCAGCAGCCTCCAAGCAGGTGTAAAAGGTACACTGAGTGCCAGGAGTAGAAAGGAAACACTGGAACTTCAGTGTTTTCAGGTCAGGTGCTCAGTTATTCAGGTTTTGATTCTAAAACCTCTAGTTTACTTAAGGTATGAGCTGTCCAAAAATGCCTTCTGCTCCTTAGGGTTTGCCTTTTCATAGTTAGGGATTCAGAGTTGGCATACTCATGAGGTACCAATTCCTTGCCAAGCAAAGACCTACTACTCAGTCTACAAAAAAGCATCCCTGAATGAAACATACAACTGTGTGCTTTTTTCCCAGCTTATTTGTGTATTCATGCATGGGTGCCCATACATGACATAGATTAATTACTGCCAACAAAGCTATTTCTGCATTAAGTTCCATATTTTCCAATCTTATTTTCCTTTTTTCATCACTTGGTGCTTAAGGATCCTCTCCTCTGCTTTCATTGGCTACCTGTAATTTATTGAGTAGTTACTTCTTATCATGTCCAGCCAGAGGCTCCCCACCTCCACGAGAGCTGCTCAGGACAAAGTGCTGTGCCCCAGGTAGCCAGCTCCTTCCAGCCCCAGTCCTAGCGCTGCAAGTCCTCCTGCTCAGCTGGTCTCATTCCAGCAGTTTCTGCCTCAAGAGTCTAGGACGCTAAGTGTAAATCTTGAGGGGAAAAAAAAAAAAGATATTAAGGGCAGAGCTAGAGCTAAATTGAAATGAGACAGGATAAAAAAATACCAAGGTCTTAAGATTACATGTTTGAGATGTGTGAGGCTGGGTTTGGCAGTATTCTGGCATAGTTGGGAGTTACTTAACTCGAGCTGACCTTGGTGCGTATGAAACTTTCCCCTTTAGTTAAGAATGGTTTTTTAAATGTCAGAAGAGTTTACCACCCCTGGGCCATGCAGAGGGGGGGTTGACCTGGGAAAGGGTGTGAGAAAAGTTTCTGCAGTGATGGCAATGTTCTGTATATCTCAAGAGCGGTTTGAGTTACATAGGCATGGGCATTTATTAAAACTCACAAATGTACACCTAAGATTTGTGCATTTCTTTGTATGTAATTTCTACACTAAAAACTGCAAAATACTGAACTCTAGTGAATAAGCATGCTGAAATAAATATTTATGTTTATTTACTTGAAATGTATTAAAAACGGATGAATGAATGTGACAGATAGAGGTGATGAAACTAGTCAGATGTTAACGATAAAATCTAAGTGGTGAATGCACAAATGTTTACTCTAAAACTCATTCAACATCACGGTATGTTTGAAATTTTTCATAATAAAATGTTGGGAAGTTATCCCAACAGTGCTATATCAGAAGCAAACACTGAGTGCACAGCAATTCTGAGGACTGTCACTGGGAATGTGGAATTCCTTCCAGTGTACCCTCTGCCCTCCCCTTGGCCATCGACCTCCTCTCTGGCACAGACCCTGGCCCACATGGCCTCCCTCTTCCTCTGCGCTTTCATTACCATGCCCTCACCCCCTGGGCAAAGGTGAATGGAAAAACAAAACAGGGTACTCAGCTATCGAGCAGATCTTCGTGAAGACTCAACCTTACAATGCTGTCATGGCAAACTGTCAGGGTACATACTTTTCTGCACCTTGAGCAAAAGCTTGACTGTTTAAACACACACACACACACACACATACACACACACACACACACACACACACCAAAAGAAACCCAACCTAATTGCAATAACTAATATAAGTTGCTTAATATTTCAGATTTAAAATTATAGGAGATTGTCATCTCAAGGCATGAAAAAACAATGATCAGTATTTGCCTCTTATTTCCATTGCTCATGGAGAAAGAGCTTAATATTGGTTGAGCCCTCAGTATGGGTTTTGCGTACATTGGCTCACAGAGTTCTCACAGCCCCATTATCCAACAATGCTCATAGTCATGGAGCCAGTAAACAGTAGATCTAGGACTCAAACCAAGATCTCCTCAGCTCAAAACTATTTTTCACCAAAGCACAGTCATGGACATTTAAAATGGGCTATGTCCTGCAATGCTACATAGAACTAACATCACTACAAGGACAGCAGTGGTCATTTGGCTAGGATTCTACAAATAAAGGCAGTTTCATGTTCTATTTCAACTGTTTTTACCCAAACACCACCCACCAAAAGGTATTTTTAAGTTTACACCCCCCACCAGTGCTGTTGACAAATGTAATAAGAACACAAAATTTTGCAAACTTTTCCATAGTTTTGGGGGAAGTTCAGGATTTTAATAAATCCGCTTAACGGAAGGGAATTTACTTTTGATGTCACAGTGTTGCTAGTTCATAAATTAGAATTAGATGGCTCAATTACTCCCTAATGATCTTCTACATCATGCTTAGACCATCGGACAAAAATTCTTACCCAATGGAATAATGGAAACTTTCCTCCACGTTAAGCCAGATTCCTAAACTACAGAAACTGTATAGTCATCACCCAGTAGATGGCACTAGATGTGCTACTGTTTTTATTCCTCTCCAGTCCTGGGACCTAGGTCAGAGGTCTTCATCTCCTACTAGGGTTATAAATATTTGAAACAGAAGACTAGTCCCCATAGCAATCAAATAATGCCTTGCATATTACTTGTGGGAAATATTTAGCTGGCTGTGTACGTAACAAAATTGAGAACTGTAAGTGGTGGGCTCTATTAGGCATTCCTAGGAAAGTTTATCATGCCTCCAACCCCACTACTATTTTTCATTTGGGCCAGCCTCTCTCCACATAATAAAGTAGGGAACTGAGGAAAGCTCTGGCGTAGAAGAAAGGTAGAAGATGCTATAAACATGTATTTGCTGATAATCAATAATAAAATCTATTTTCAAAAAAGTTTAGTAGAAACCTAGGGTGAAAAAGCTTTTTACCTTGATACAGGCCCAAATGAAGTTAGGCGACTCCATTATAGATGATCTGATCTTAATAGTGACATAATTTGAATAATTCTATTTGAACTTAATTCAAAACACAACAGAGCTCACATCCAGAGGCCATACTCACTTGAGATTACCCTGCTTTACTCAATTCTGCCCTTTGGAGGCATATGCTTCTACCTATTTTTCCATGTTTTGCAAACCAGAAACTTGGCATATTCAAGCCTCACCAAGATAAAAGAAACTATATGCCCTCCAAAACAGTTATTTCTGTGTTGGGAGAGATATCAAGGGCAGGACACAAAAATCTTCAAGGCCATTATTTCAAGTGTAGCTCTACCAGACCTACACCTATAAATCCTCCTTCTGATAGAGAAGCAACTTATATTTCTAACAAGTTCCTGGGGGACATCTCCTATCAGTGGCTTATAAATATACCACTGTGTCAGTTTCACTCAACATACATTCAGTATCTGGATAAGAAACTGAACTAATGCTTCATTCAAGATTTTGATGGAGAAAAATAGAAAATTTGACTTCTGGTTGGAAATACTAAAAAAAAAAAACTTATTTCTGAAAACATGCAAGTGCTTCAGTGGAGGTTGTAAGAACATGTCATGGTGAGGACTGTGGTGTGAAAGTGGCCTCTCAAGACTCCTGGGGTCTATTGCAGCCTTGGATTGACATGGTCCTAAAACTTGGGGAGCCACACTAGTTGTAGGTTACTTACCAAGGCCTTTCAAAAGGTTTAAATGTCTACTACCAGTCAAACTTGTTAAAATGTTCATTCTGCTGCATCACACTAATTATCTCATAGTGGTAGAGCCCTTAGGAACATCTTTGGGTCTAATGTTCTTAATGAGAAAAGTGCTAAGTAGATGGCTTATTAGGGACAGCCTGTGGACTTGGTTTTCTCTAGTCTGTTTCTTAGTTTGTGATCTGTGCTTTGAGAAACATCATTAGACCCTTTTAGTCCAGAAACCTGGAGTGATGTGGTTAGAGTATTTGGACACAAAGTCTGGTATATCCCTAATAAAGCAAAGGAATTGGGAGAAAAGCTGAATATGCCTGGAAAGTAAAATGTTTTCCTAAGCTTCTCTCTCAGGACCTAACAACATACCATTCACAACAGTGCTATTTTCCAAAGGTCACAATTAGATTTCCTCAGAAGCATACCTTAACTGTTAATCATTACAACGACTTCATGAAATGTGGGAGTGTTGCATTACCCTAACATTTAATCATTGGCTGAAGCCTGGTTTACACCACAGCCAAGTACATCTGCCTTTACCCCTCATATAACCAACCCCCTTTTCTACCAGAAATGTGAAAACTCTCATCAGATGGGAAATTAAACAAAGAAAAGGCAAAACAGATTTTTATAAAAGCCATCATAGGCCAAGTAATCCCCAGAAGCAGCCCAGAGGCAAAACAGACTGACGCTGGGGAAGCACTCCATGTTGATACTGCTTTCCCATGGTTTCCAAGGTTTGTTGTCTGGAGAACCTTTCCAAATACATGAAAGAAAAGGATCTTAAGAGTCACGGGAGCCTAAAGTTGCTTGGAGCAAACAGTAATTACTTTCATAACAGAAAAGGGAAGTCATTTCAGTAACTGGAATGCCAGATCTATGTAAACTTAAAATTGCCATTGTGTCTTCGGACTGATGTAGAACACAGCCAGTGTGGACCTCTGAGAACACTTTGTAGGGCCAGGTAACCAGCTTCCTCCTTTACACGTTCTCATAATTACGTTTTTTTTTTTTTTTTTTTTACTAACCTCACATCTATTTGTTCTCAGCATCATCCCTTTGGCATTATTACTCAACCCAGCAAATGAAACATTCTTTTAAAATGTTAAATAATAAAAATACAAGTGACAAGGATTCAGTACTACAAATATTCAGGGCATCAAGTTAAACTGTCCTCAAAGTTAAAGCAGATTACTAAAAAAAAAAAAAAAATACAGGAACAAAGCAAAAAAGAGGTGGTATATATAGGAAAACCTGTATAAGTGCCTTTGGGAAAGCACAGTGCAACCCTTCACTATTACACATCATCCTCTGGCCTTATGAGGTTCATCTTCCCATCTCTGTCTTGTAGCCACTACCCAAAAATCTGGCTGATGAGACTTCAAACCACTTCAGAACTGTTTTGGAGAAATGAAATGGGACCCAATTCTAGTAGGCATGTATTTCTATACTAAATGGTTTTTGTTTTTGGTAGGTGTTTAGACATTTAAAAATTCACAGGTGAAAGCACCAGGAAAGAGGAAGGTAGAAAACTTTCTTCCTCTTCTTGATGAGTACTGTCCAAGCAGACTGGTAGGGCAAATATTCATTATGAACTGTAATTCACTTTGCTTTGGTTTTGGAGGCTTCCCTTAAGAAAAAAGAGATTTGTTAATAAATGATAACACAGAACAACAAGATTAAATTATTGAGGCAAATGTCAATTACAAAAGTAATAGCTTAGATCGTTCTCTATTTAATCTCAATATGTTAAAGGGTAACAGTATTTCCACACCTAACGCTGCATTTTTTTCTATTCTTGAGGTATGATTAGACGACAAACATTTGACTGCCTATTATGTGCCAGAAATCATCCTAATCACTTACATGGAAAATCTTCAGTAATTCTCTAAAGGGATATTACTTACTTGTTTTTATAGTTGTGGAACTTAAGGCTTATAGAGGTTTTATGCGTAATAATTTATCCAACATCACAGGTGAGGAGATAATGGGTCAGGACTGGAAGCTCAGCTATCCCTACCTGATAGTTTACTTTTCTGAAACTCCAAAATTCTTTCTTTTAAAATCATCTTTAACACCATATTCTCCCACAAATAACAGTATTATTGCTCCTACCTCTACTTAGATTTAAATAAAAATTTATATGCTAATTTTTAGTAATTTTTTTTACTCCAAACATCTGTAATTTTGTATCTTAAAAAAATACTAGTCACAAAGCCTAATCCACTATAATCATGAGTTAAGAATAAAAGAGAAACGTCTTTCTAGAATATATAAACCCCAGTTACCAAAGTACTATGAACCATGAATAAGCTCCTTGAGATTACTCATCACCTACCCCTTAACTCTCTACTATGTCTAATATACAGTGTATCACGGAAATTTGTTAGATACACTGAATTGAAGCAAATGAATATTCTGGCACCAACCTTCGTATTCAAAGGCTTTGGAGTTTTTAGAAAACAGAGTCTACTTAAATTATTTTGTGATTTAAGGTAGGGACAAGAAGCGACAAATATAGAGCTAAGCAGTCGCCGGGTTGAAGTAATCATTACAACTACAGTAAAATTTACTGGCTCTCCACTGTAAAGCATTGAAAGAGCAAAAATAAGGGAGGTCCGTTAATATTAATGCAAGTTTTATTTGAGATAATATTGAAGAACTGAATTCTAACAAAGGAAAAATTTACCAGTTATCCACTCTATAGTAAAAAGTGGAACTGGGGACCATTTATAACACAAATAAATTCTACCTTTACATTTCTGAATAAAGCTGTATTCACTTCTTAGAGAGAGCCATTTAACTTCTGCTGATAAGGCTTTGTGAATTGTGTTCAGAAACTCTGACAATACTCACATATACACACTCTTCAAATAAGCTAAGTACCTAGGATTTTCACTCCAGGATGAGTTTCTACAAGTACCTAGGACACTCTAACTTAAGACTGCATATTTCTACATGAATTCAATTTGAATTGCCTTCATCTTTATGTACCACAATTTTTTTAAATAATTAGATCAATGTTTATTATGACTTTTTAACTCCCTCAAATTATACTTTAATATTTGACATGGTAGTTTCAAAAAATAAATATTCAAGGTCTCAGTTTTAAATTTCCCTTCAGTGTAAATGCACAAAGTTGACAACAAATATTAATAGGACTACCCTAAAATAAATGCAGCTTTCTTATAAAAATTACTTGTTATAATACAGTTCCCATTCTATTCCGTAATTCTAATAAAGAATATGCTCTTTTGGTAATAAAACAAGAGTTTAGAATGATTCAGTCCTTGGAAAATCTTAATGGCAGTCACTCAATGAAGAAGTCAATCATTCCTGGAGTCACAAACACTCAAAACCTGCTGTAATCATTGACTGAGTTTTTGTGGGGGTTTTTTGGTGGCTATTGCTTTAGTTGGCAATACCTGAATTTAAGACAAAAGAACATCTCCCACTAAGCCTTATTTTAAATATTACAAAATGTATACGGAAGATAGACTCATAGAGGCTATAATGCTGATGTCTTAAGTAACTCACCCATGAAATGGGTGCATGTATTTTAGAGGATAACTGTAGAATTTTTTGCTCTAAAAATAAATGCCCCTACTTTTCAGAGTGTTCCCATTCTTCAAATTCTTCAACAGGAGACTTGAGCAGCTTAACAGTTTTGCTATAAAAACAAACCACTCTTGTTAACAAACCCAAATCATAAAAAGGAAACCGATAAAGGACATAGTTTTCACAGTTAATGATAAATAAAAGTGCAGTAAGTGTTCAAGTAGGGCACGTAGTTTAAGAACTACATGTGAGTATTTGGCATAGGTCATCTTTTAAAGGCTCTCCGAGGGTCCCTGCCATTACTTATTGTGGTCATGACTGTTTGATTATTAGCTGTTCCTTGTAGCTGTGGATTTGTAGGTCCCCGGCCATTGCTTCTACCAGCATACGAAAACTGGCATCCCCTTGATTCTGGGCCAGTTTGAACCCCGTTTCCTAAAAAAGAATATAAAAATTCATCACCATTTTCAGACACTGATCTGTAGGAATACACCTATTTGGAGTTCTAACACATGCTTAAAAGTAGTATTAGAGAAAACAAATGCCTTTATTTTTAAACTACTGGAAAAAACTCAATGAGGGTTCTGCGTTTTTCCAAATGTTATGATTACTGTAAATATATTAACTTGATGCTGTATTAATATGGAAGGAGATATAGAACAGTTTGGGCAACAGAATGAGAAATTAGTAAAGAAAAACATAGATAATGCATTGCCTACATTGTAAGGGAGAAAGAAAAAAAGAAACGGTAAAATCGTGTATGAACACTGGCATTAGGTTCAAATATGGTTAATAATTCAAAATGGACAATGTAATTCTAATTTTTCAAAGGAAAAGACAGCAGTTTCCCATAATGTGATCATCACCAGCTGTGCCAAAACATGCAGCCACCAGGTCAAATAAAACTTCAGCCACCCTACTAAACTCCAATCTCAAAGCTTTTCCTCCATTATTTAAGAATAAAAACTTCAAAAGACTCAGCTGATAGAACCATTAACATGACATTTGAGAGTATTTGAAGGGTAAAGGCCAATCTTTTAAAGAGGCAGCTATCAGCATGTGAAAATTTAAGGTGAGCTATTAGTCTAAAGATAAAAGGCTTTTTTGGTGTGCCAAAATAACCAGTAATTCTGCATTGTTATAAATAATCACTAGATGACAGAAATTTTGTTAAAAAAAAAAAATCAATGGAAAACCTACTCCACATCACTAAAACAGATTTATTATCAGCCACTGTTTAAATATAGAATGTGCTCCGGGAGGTGGGTGGGGGAATGGGGGAATGGGTGAAATGGGTGATGGAGATTAAGAGTACACTTATCTTGGTGAGCATGGACTAATACATGGAACTATACTGTATATGTGACACTAATAAAACACTATGTTAACTACACTGGAATTTAAATTAAACAGATAAATACATGTGTATAAAAATGAGAAGAATGTGATCAATAAGTTAGCTTAAGGGAGTATCTGCTATTTAGAAAATCAGTTATTTGGGAATTCCCTGTTTACTAATAATAGCTCCCTTTTAGTGCTAATGTATGCCTAAAGATAGTTTTCTTCTAAATCTTTTGTAAGATATATTCACTTAATTCTTAACACCTGATCGGAAATATGCAAAAAAAAAAAAAAAATCTTACCCACTGGTCCAAATGTACCTGTACCCATATTATTATTCATGGAATTATTCTTCTGTTCATTGTGTGCCTAAAAAATATGTTTTTAATTTAACCAATTGAAGATTAAAAAAAAAACATTATTATAACATGTTATATCCATTCTTTGTTTTTTTTAACAAATTTTTAAAAGATTTATCCAAGTCCATTCAATGTTACTATTCAGGAATGTTTCCCAAACCTTTCATAGCTTCTGTTATATCTTACTGTGTTTTCCTGATTATTACCCCTACTCCTCAAAGTGCTCAATGGCACATATATTTAATATATAACACTAAAGATATATAATAGACTCACAAAATACACAGGATGTAAATGACTTTATATTCTTTTTAAAACTGTCCTCATGATCCTCCGGGTATGACAGGGTTGGATACCTAGCCAAAGAATTATAGTGCCTACTCAAAATTAGCCTAATCATAAAAAAGACTATACATTTGGATTAATTACCCCTCTGCTCTGTTGTCCTCGATAATCTGGGTTGGGTTCACTGAAATTTGGCACTTCTGAATAAACCATACAAAATCTGAAAGAAAATAAAGCACAAGTTAAATGACTCCTAAAATAATCAGCCTTTTTTTATATAACATGCGTAACTTATAGGAATGAAGAATTTAGGTGTCAAATGAATTAACTAAAAAGCAAGATGCTATTTATACAACAAAAACTTCCTAAATGCTATGTTCCATAAAAACAAAGAACTCTAAGATATTCAACAGCCTACAATGTATAAAACATTCTATTTTTTATTTTAGTTCTTCTGTATCGCAAAAACAAATCATGTCAAAGATCAAGGACACAGAAACACATCTCTGTGCTGTTTTTCCAATAGGCTGATGCCACTGGACCATGCTTAGGGTTCCAGAGTGGTTTTTCCAGCAGTGGTGATGGATTTGCACTGATCCATTCACACACTCCCATCCAGGCCCTTTTGACCAATCACTGTGAATCTGCAAAGATAATCATTCAAGGTTAAGAGTGGATTTTGCAGGTATGTATAAAGACATGTTGCTGTTAAGACAACAGTTTATCCCAATGCTTCTTGTAAGTTGACTATGGCATATATTAATATTACATACACATAAGCATTTACTTAGCTCCTCACCCCATAAATAAATTAAAATCAGTTTTTGTGTATCTTAGACTGACCCTGACAAAGCCAAGTCACTACGAATTGAGTGACCTCCAGTGGTTCTTCACATAACTGACCTCTTTTTCTATATACATGCAGGTCAGGAAAAAAATCCTTAATCGTTTGATGATATTGACGCTAAGAGCTTTCGTAACATGTTGCTCTACTACTACTCTAAAAACAAACATAAGTAAATAATTTTCTTCCTAGCAAAAGCAAAATGTTACCAGTTTCTGATCTTTAAAAGCTAGCAAGATTATCTTTTCCAAAAAAGAATTTTATCCCTGAGGTGTAGAAGAACATTCCCCCCCCTTTTTTTTTTGTGGTGCCATGTGTGGCTTCTCTCTCTTCAAATATCCTCCAATTTGATGGGCATTAAGTAGATGTCTAAACATTAACCAAACAGAATGGACTAATGATTTGGCTCATTGCCAACACAATACTTTGTGAAGATATCCCAAATGTCCAGGCTACTATGGAGGCTGAATTACCTTTACACCCCTAGAGAGGATGGTTCCTCCAAGTCAGGGTGGAGATTACCAGGGTAGTAGTGTATGGAAGCTCGCATTGTGGCTGCCTCTACGGCACCTAGACTGTGGATAAATACAGGACTTCAATGGTCATTGCTGCAAGTCCTTTTACCATGAGTACATATTCACCCATCAACAAAAAAAGAAAATTTAAACTGTTGGCCTGAAACCTGGCTTCTTACCTAGCTTCTCTGGCAATTCACTAGAAGACAGAACCTATTTAAAATGGCACTGTGACACCTGAAAGACGCACGTTCCCAAAGCCTACAGAAATGGCCCCACTGGGGCTCATCTCAAGTGCAACTTCATGCTCTTCACCAGGGAAAACTGACATTCTCAACCAGAGGAATCAGTACAGATGGCTGTTAAACTGGTACATACGTGTAAAGTTGTTTTTACAGTGAAGCTGTTGAAGGCATTCAGTTTACCAGTCCAGAAATGCCAAGAAGTTTATAGTTTATACATACCAGTTATTCTGTAGATATTACATGTAATTTATTCAATTATAGGAAATGCACTTTAATACTTACTCCCCAATTTTTTGAAGTTCTCCACCCCTTCCAGTATACAGTGTCAAACACCCTTTCCACATGGATGCGTACCTAGAAAGAAAAACATCCATTCTGTAGAAATACATGTATTTCCTACTTAAGTAAAACTTTACACTGTGCTTTTTGTATTGGGATATAGATGGAGATCAAACTCTGTGAATACAGTAGTAAATCAAATACAATTAATCTAATTTTGAGTCACTTGTTACTTACAAAGGAACAGTACAAAGAAAACTCTACTGCCAAATTTTGACATGATTATCTAAACTATAAATAACCCTAGAAAATAGAAAGTCTTTTTGCAAAACAAGCACTGTTATACTCCAAAAATCATCTTTAGTCAATTAACAAAAGAACTTTCAATTGAAGAAATTCAGGCAGAAATTATTTTTCAATCACAGAATATATAAAATCAACACCAAGTGTTTACTTTTATACTCATTTACTTGGTCTACTCAGATTATCAATATAAGTTTTCCCTTTGCCTTCATAAAACACATAGGATTCACAAGCTACTGAAAATTTGGTAAAATTTAATCAAGGGCCTAAAAAAACAATCACAAATCTCACTTATCTGCCTTTCCAAACCTGCAATTTTTAGCATCAACTTGGCTGAACAGATTATTTACTCTGACCATCTCAATGTAGACAGCATCATTAAATATTCCTACACAAAAATCTAATAAAAATGTAAATTAAACATTGTAAAATCAGTCCAAGGTTTGGTTTTCAGTGGTTCTCTATACAACTACTATGGTAACTTTAGACTTAGAATGATAAATTACAGGGACGCCTGGGTGGCTTAGTCGGTTAAGCATCTGCCTTCAGCTCAGGTCATGATCCCAGGGTTCTGGGATCGAGTCCCGAGTCCCCCATTGGGCTCCTTCCTCAGTGGGGAGCCTGCTTCTCCCTCTACCAGCCACGGTCCCTGCTTGTGAGCTCTGACAAATAAAGAAAACCTTAAAAAAAAAAAAAATGAGGGGGGCCTGGGTGGCTCAGTCGTTGAGCGTCTGCCTTCAGCTCGGGTCATGATCCCGGAATCCTGGGATCAAGCCCCGCGTCGGGCTCCCTGCTCCGCGGGAAGCCTGCTTCTCCCTCTCCTCCTGCTTGTGTTCCCGTTCTGTCTCTCTAATAAATAAATAAAATACTTTTTAAATGATAAATCATAACTAAATATTGTTAACTAAGTACAGTTATAGCTCATTTTTTAACATAGGTTAATAAATACTAGTTAGTTCCACATTATACAGTCCTCATTAGTAAGGGTAATTCATTAAAGACTCCAGCACTCTTACGCTATACGCTAAGCAGAAGAAAAATGGTACACTATTTCACCTTAGTAACGTAAAAGTTAATGCATGTTGAGAAAAAATTTGAAGTTACAACACGCAAACATTTAACCTGTACTTGTTTCAGGAATGAGATCAATAGCAGGGTTTTCTGATAAACATATCAATATTCAAATTACCATTATTTAGATGTACACCTTTCTTCAAAAACTACTTTTCTTAGATACAACCAGAACTGAAGGGCCTTACAATAGGCCAGACTCCGCTAGATATGTTATTTTAGTAAGTAAGGTATAATTATTCCCATTTTACAGAAGAGGAAGTTACAGAAGTATAAAAACCTCAAGGTCAGACTGAGGTTACAAAATGGTGGAGTTTCTTTAGTTTTGAATTTTCCTTTAAATTATATTCCTTGAAATTCTATAAATCCTACATGGATCTTGATTTTAGTTTTTCCACAAATTTTTTGATGGACATACCTATATATTTTCCATTGACTACAAAATATGAAATATTTGAAATGAGCTGCTGTTTACACTGTATAAAATACTTTTAATCACTGGATGAGAAATACTTTGGCAGCCAAAAAAATTTTAATTATGCTAATCCTCGCCACACCCTCATAGGCAGGAATTTTCTTTGGTGTAAGCTACAGATACGGAAGTTTGAAAGACACAATTAGTGTCATAATGAGTCACTGCATGAGAATAAAATGTCTATGTTCTGACTCTCACTTCCTTCTTTGATGATACTCTCTGCCTCACTTCCTGAAGATGTTGTAAGGCCTGGAAGGTATTATCAAAGGGCTCTAACTAACCTCCTCCATTCAGGGTAATCCAATACTTCTCTGAGATTCTATTTACTATGCCAACATCAATACCCACCCACTTTTCCTATAGTTGTGACCAATAAATTATTACAATTCTATTGACCACAGAACTTCCAAAATCCATCTCAGGACCCTTTTCTGGCCTTTTAGCTTCCTAATTTAAACATGTGGTAAAATTTTAAAGGCAGCTGAATTACCAACCAAAAAAAAAGGTTGTGCTAAATTATTTCTAAAAGCCAATCTGCCAACTGACTCTTTTGGATGGGAGGTATCTTAGACATCTTCCTGCCAAATATTTTCTGCATATCATTCTGGTTTTTGTACTACACTGACCTTATAGCAGTAGGCCCAGGAAATTATTTTCCAGAATGTGCCTTCCAGATATTCTAAACTTCCCTTAACTTTCACATTCAAGTACAAATTTGACATACCACAAAAACTGCTAAATTGTCCAACTACAGTCTTATGTCCTGTCTAAATAAAATACTGGCAGGATTTGAAAAGGGGGAAAGGTTGGAAAAGAACTGACAACTGTATTAAATAATTTATGAAAAAAATAAATAGTATGGACTATGCTAATTTTATCAATCTACAAAAAACACTCAGTAATCCCAAAACAGTACCATCTACCTAACCTGTAAACTGAGGGGGAGTGGGTTAGATTCCCCGGTGAAACTGACCGCTTTTTCTGGCAAGGGTGTTATATCCCAAAGCTGTCGACTGTCCAAAATTAACACCCAAGGGGCTCAAAACTCCCTGGAGGCCCACAGAAAAAGATACGGAACTCCAGAACTTGCCAAGATTCCCCAGCCAATGATTCTGCAGTCTGTTACTTAGGAAGCCTTCTCCCTCCTCCCCCTTTGGTGCACACCTACCCTCTGGTCAACCGAATAATATCCCCTGGCTGTATAAGACCTCCGATTTCATCCCACACGGAAATAGTGATGCTGCCCGTTTTATCTGCTACTTTGCATGATCTCACTTCATGGCCGTCTTTGGTTTTGGTCACGCGTCCTGTAAAGATTTAAAAATCACAAGGGGTGGGGGAAGAGGTGTATTAATGAGGACTTCCAGAAAGGCTCTAACTCCTCCTCCGGGATCATAACGCAGTGGAAAGGTGGAAAGAAGTCGAGCCCCGGGTTTTCGCCGCAGGTTGTATCCGAGCCCCGGAGGGGGCCACCGGGGCCACGTGGAAGGGGGGGGAGGGGAGGGGGAAACGAAGAGGAGGAGGAGGGGAGCCCCAGGCTTGCAGCGGCGGCGCCCTTCCCTCCTGCCCCAGAACGCAAGGGGGCAGAGGGGTGGGCTGCAGACCCCACTTACCTATCTCCAGGACAATAAAGACGACATTTAAGTTTTTCAGTCCGGGCTTAATATCTTTTATAAAAAGAGGTGGGTCGTTGACCCCATTCATATTGAGGCAGGTGCGGCTACGGATGCGAAGACGCGGGTGGGCAGGGAGTGGGACAAAGGCTCCCACCCTCCCGGGCAAGGGCGAGGGCGCAGGGGAGACTCTGGGCGGGGGTGGCGAAGAGAACGGGCAGAAAGCGGTTAGTCAGGGATCAAGGAAACCAGCCCAGACGGCACTGAGTCCAAAAAAAGAAGGGGGAAAAAAAGCTCACAAGTTTAAAAGGAAAAAAAGACGAACCAGTCCGCACACAAACCCCGCTCCCAACGGGGCGACAGTAAGGCAAGCGTGCGAACTGAACTGCCCCCCTCTTTTGGATAAAAGGCGGGGAAAAAAAGCAGCGAGGGGACGTCTCTGCCCTGAGTCCCCCTCACACTCACCACACACACACACACATACACACACACACACACAGACACACGCGGGCGCGCGCCCAGTCTGTCCCAGCCTTCGGGAAGGGACAGACTGTGACAGCGAACCCGGTGCGGAGACCTAGCAACCACACACTCTGCGTCCCAAACAGCGACTGCTGAACGCGCCCGCGCGCCGGCTAGACCCCCCAACCCCGGCCGCCCCTCCCCTTATGACGTCAGGTGGCGTCGGCACGCCCGTCGCCGGGCTAGCCGGGGTTGTAGGAAGGGAAGCGAGGGGTCCGGAACCGGCCGGCGTCGCCCGCGCAGCCTCCCTCGCTCCTCGCCGGCTGTCAGCTCGAGCCCCGCCCCCTCAGCCTTCCAATGGGCTCTCGGCCCCGCCCTGCCCGTCCCCCGCTTCCGCCGTCGCTGCGCCGCGTCCCCTTTGCCCTGTAATTTTCCTTTTGCCGGCTTCTAGTTCTCGCTGTGCTGCATTAGGTTGTTCTTGCTCTTTTCTCGCTCAGAGTTCAGCCCTCCACCCGAGCCCTTTAATCCCTTTGTCCCCGCGGTTATAAGGAACAGTGGCTGTGTTTAGGACCCAATGGGTACGTTAAAAAAAAGCGTGCCGTTGAATACAGGTTTAGGCCAGGGTGGCTGGTGGGGATGGAAGGAAAAAAAAACAGTCGGGGATGGGTCCTCATTCCTAAAGCTGGAATTTTAGCCCAAGAAGGGAACTGTAAATCAACTTAACCACTTCTTTTTAAGCATATTTAAATTGAGGTCCGGAAGGGTGGGGTAGTTTGCTGAAGGTCAACCAGGAACTTGTGAGCAAGCAGGACTTCAGCACAAATCATCTGACCGGCTCTTGGACTTTTCACTCTAATACTAGGCGGGTAGATAGTAGTTAAATTCCTTTACAAATTTATTTTTCCTTACCCTTTCCTTCTCACATTATATCCCTTTCCCAATTTTCTCTATCCTTTTTTTTAATGGGCAAGTTTTTAGAGCAGTTTTGGATTCATAGCAAAACCTAAAGAAGAGTACAGAGATTTACCGTATATCCCCACTCCCACACATTCCTAGCCTCTCCCATTATCAGTATTCCCCCCCCGCCAGAGTGGTACATTTGTTACAGCTGATGAACCTACGTTAACACATCATTATGGCACACAGTTTATAGTTTACCTTAGGGCCCACTCTTGGTGGTGTATGTTTTATGGGTTTGGACAAATGTCTGATGACTTGTATCTACCATTATAGTGTCATACAGAGTAGTTTCACTGCCCTAAAAATCTGTGTGCCACCTATGCATCCTTCCCTCTGTCCTAATCCCTGGCAACCACTGATCTTTTTACTGTCTCCATAGTTTTGACTTTTCCAAAAAAAAAAAAAAAAAAGAAAAAGTTTTCTTTATCTCTACCTCATGTAGTGAAAAGGGGCGTGTCCTCTAGAAACAAACCTGGGCTCGGACACCTTACGGTGTGACCTTTAGGATACTTAAGCTTTGTAGTCATAATTTAATAATCTGGAAAATAAAAGGATGCCCGCCTCAGAGAATTACATAGGATCAGAGATAATTGTCTGACTAGTGCCTAGGAAATAATACATATTGCCCCTATTTTTTATTATTAAGGAAGAGAAAAACAATAATAGCTTAAACTGTGATTACTTAATCCTTTCAACAATCCTGTGTGGTGACTGCTAATTTTTATCCCCATTTCACAGATGATGAAACTCACCAGAGACCACATTGCTAGAGAATGGCTAAACTCGGTTTTGAATCTAGGCAATCTTGACAACCACCCCGCCCCCACCCAGAGCCCTCCAGCTTAAAGGTAATTTTTTTAGACTTAAATTGCAGTGGTAGAATTAAACGTTTTAGTAGTAAAATATATCTGTAGGGCTTTAAAGAATCATCCAATTAACTTTGTGATGGTAACAGAAATGTTGAGAAGAGTCAGAGAATTTGCATGGCAGAAGCCTTAATTTTTTCTTGATTCCTAACAGTATTTTTAGATCAACCACCACTTCCCAAACATCTGCAAAGAAGTGGCATAGATATAATACAGCCTGAGAAGAGTTTCAGAGATAACCACATTAGCAGGAGAGACAAGACATTCTTAAGGAAGCAGAAGCTTCCAATTCATGGACAAATAAGGCCCAGAGAGCCAAAAACACTGATGTAATGCTGGGAAGTAGTGTAAAATAATATTATAAATATGATTTCAACATCAAATAAAACAAATGATGAAGCGTGTCAGTTAATGGCAGAACCACATCCAACCTCAGGGCTCCCAAAGACTCCCACTTAAGATCAGAAGCTCTGATTCTACCAAGTTTATCTAGCAGCACTTGTTGCTTCGTTTAGATTTTCCTCAAAGCTATATTCTTCAACACGGGCAAAAACATTCTCACAGAAGCAATATTTAACCAACTGAGCCACCCAGGCATCCCTCACAAAAGAAATATTTAAATCAGACCTTTTTTTTTATTATTTAAAGATTTGACGAGATCGTAAAAAGATTAGCAAAGATAGGAGACCAATTAAGAATGTTGAGCACAATTGTGGCCAAGAGTTTGGACACAAAGCAGGTTGGCCACTCTTTGCACTGTCAATCATTTGTTCCCAGAAAGGAGATTAGAGAGGGCTGCTCAGACTTATTTTACTGACATTTATAAAGAGGAACCAGGAAACCAAGCCCCACAAAAGCAGAAGCTGATGCTCAGCAGCCCAGCCCTGCCCTAACCCCATAGGAGAGAACTCAGGCAAACATCTACTTCCTCCCCTACTAAGTCAGCTGTTCTCAGAAAGGAAATGGCAACCAAGTGCTTTCTCACTCACCAAAACTAAAGACAACCTTGAAAAACAAAATGGTGTGGACAGTGCAGGAACTCTTCAATCCAGACCAGTTGGTTTCAACTAACCCCAATCACTCCTCAAGGGTGGTGGTCAATAAAAAGAGAAAGGAGATGTCTAGAAAAGCAACTGTTGCCCCTCAATCATTCCTAATATACAATTCAGCAAAATAAACAAAGAGATCCCTGCTCACTAGGCCCAGCCAGTTAGGTCATAATGATTATACTGCTGATTCTTTACTACATTCACAAGATTACTTCATGGTCTTCTTCCTTCTAAGACTGTTGTTCTTCAAGCCTTCCTCATTTTCAGAGACCAAACATAAACCTATGAGGTAATGAGAGGATTATGGACAGAACCTCAACATCACTATCCTGTGTGAAAAAAAAAAGTTTAGCGAGATCCAGTACACTAAGAAGAGTATCCATTAGAATCCTAGACATAAGGGTCTGGTTATCTGCGTCCTCACTGATAAAGGTTTTCCCGTAAATTTTGCCACCATCCACAACCCATGCTCACTGCCACGTTCTGGTTTCTGGGATCACAAAAATCATTTTCACTTTTGTGGCACTATCCATCTATTCAAAACTATTACAACATCAGTTAAATAGCTGACCAAGTTCTTTTTGAAACTAAACATCTTGTGTGGTGAAATTAATAATAAAAAATTAACAAGAACTACAGTGTTCTCACATTACAGAGGGAATCTACTTTGTAACATAATTGGCTAGGTCAAAAAGAAATGGCCTTTTCTTAATCTTCTTAAAAAGATTTAACCAAAAGACTCATAGGTAATGTTTAGCAATATTTGCAACATAGCCACACAAATCATCCCTATAATGATAAATGCTAATACACACTGAGCCTTTGCTATGTGCCAGGCATTTTATACTTATAAGCACCTGATACTTATTAATATATTATTGAATAATTAATATTTTGGAAGTGAATTTTCTCATTTTATGGTAAGTTACAGAGCTGGGATTTAAAACCAAGTGTTAACATGAAATAACTTTTTCTATAAAACAGGCTATTTGCACTTACAAGTGCACTTTGGTTATCCTAGTGGGTAATTGGATTTTTTTGACAGCTTTGTAGTTCACAGTGATAAGTGCAACACCAGGTTATTTAATCCCTAATGTCTAATTGTGGTGGGGGCAGTGAAGTCCGCTGGTGAGGAATAACTTTGTAGTTTCTCTTGGGAAGAAATGCATCCCTAAGTAGGTTAATTCAGCTCAGCTACATTATCTTTTTAATGATAGTGTGAAGAACTTTGGTTTCTGTGTTCTAAAAACTTTCTTTCAAGTGCACCATACATCTAACTAGCTGCCTGAATTTATTGTTTATTCAGCTGAGAAAACAAAATATTAGTGGCAACTGAACTAACTCAGAATGAATAAAACAAAATTATCTCTTTATTGGCAGATTTATCTCATTGGAGTATGTATCATAATCATCATACTTAAAGAGATATTGTAGAGAAGGCTATAAATCACACGTCCAGAGAGCTGACCCAAGTTCTATAGGGTCAGAAGTCCTTTCCATACTGTGTGTCTAGATGATGAAAAAGAGTTACTTGCTCTGTTTGCTGATGTTTCTCATTGTCCTATGTTGCTATAGAGGGAGTGTTCATGTGCCACCCCAAATTCCTGTGTTGTAATCTAATCCCCAATGTAAAGTGGAATTTGGAGATAGGGCCTTTGAAAAGTGATTAGATAAGAAGGTGGAGCCCTCTTGCATGGGATTGGTGCCCTTAGGAAAGAGACCCCAGGAGCTCCCTCACCCCTTCTGCCATTAGAGGACACAAAGAAGACAGACATCAGTGAACCAGGAAGCAGGCCCTCATCAGACACCGAATCTGCCAGTGCCTTGACCTTGGACTTCCCAGTCTCCAAAGAAATGAGAAATAAATTTCTGTTGTTGATAAGCCACCCAATCAATGGTATTCTGTTAAAACAGCCCAAGTAGGCTAAGACCATATGTAAAAATAAATAAATCAGTGATAATTTCAAAAACCAATTCTCGGGCGCCTGGGTGTCTCAGTCGTTAAGCGTCTGCCTTCGGCTCAGGTCATGGTCCCAGTGTCCTGGGATCGAGTCCCATATCGGGCTCCCCACTCAGCGGGAAGCCTGCTTCTCCCTCTCCCACCCCTTCTGCTAGTGTTCCCTCTCTCGCTGTGTCTCCCTCTATCAAATAAATAAATAAAATCTTTTAAAAATAAATAAATAAATAAATAAAAACCAATTCTCCTGCTTTCAAAATCCTGTTCCTTAATGTGCTCTAGTTGGCCCGACAAGAAGCATGTAACAGGTTCCACTAATGTCACGCCCGACTGGTGTCGCAGTGGAGGGCTTGGTGACTCTTTATGGAAGTTTTACTTATTCTCTTGGCTTCTCGATAGTAAAAATAAATATCTTTTCTTATTTTATAGCACTGTACAGCTTACACGCTTTCTCTCCTTTCACACACATGCAAGCACATACATATACCAATAAATCGCCTGGAAGAAACAGTCACTGCTTCCATACAAACCCCTCAGTAAGAGCATTTTCCATGTGAACATGTAGTGTCCCAGTTGGAAGAATGTTTACAGATAATGGACTCTAACCCCTTCTTTGTATGTGTGTGTATATACATATACGCCCAGAAATGTGAACAAGAGCACCACTACACCCCCTAATGAATTAAGGCTCTCAATAATAATCATTACAGGCTGCTAATATCATGACAAAAGGGACAACAGTCAAAACAATGAAATCAGAATCTCTAAAGGTGGAACTCAGCCATCAGTATATGCTAAAACCCCTCAGTGTACCACCAAATCAGAGCCACAACAGGTTAGAAGACACTTTTTTTTTTTTCCAGAGCATTTTCTTTATTTTCCGCATACCTATTCTGGAACAGTATTTCCCTTACTCTAGCTTGGGAAATCCTGTACTGAGACAGGCTTCTAGAAGTGAAATTACTGAATGTATAGTTAAGAACTCTGACAGGTATTGTCAATTGACATTTCAGGAATTTTGAGAGACTTACACTCCCTCTTGCTCTTTGTATGTTCATTAAACATAGCTTATTAGTTTATTCAACAAATCTTTTTTTTTTTTTAAAGATTTTATTTATTTATTTGAGAGAGAGAGAGAATGAGAGATAGAAAGCACAAGAGGGAAGAAGATCAGAGGGAGAAGCAGACTCCCTGCTGAGCAGGGAGCCCGATGCGGGACTCGATCCCGGGACTCCAGGATCATGACCTGAGCTGAAGGCAGTCGCTTAACCAACTGAGCCACCCAGGCGCCCCATCAACAAATCTTTATTGAACAACTACAATGTGCCAGCACTGAGACTGCATCAGTAAAAAAATAATAATAATACAAACAAAAGTCCCTAACTTCATGGAGCTTGCATCCTAATGGGAGTAGACAGAAACAATAGACAAAATACATAAAATTACATAGTATATTAGAGGGTGATGAATAGTATGTTGAAAAATGAAGCAAGGGATGGGGTAGGGATATAACAGGAATGACTACAGAGAGTGGGCAGGAAAAGTGATATTTGAATAAAGATAAAAAAGAGAGGAGGGAGCTATTGGAAAGGCTCAGGCTGCCTGCCTTTTTCCAGGCACAGTAAGCCGGCTGCTGTGACTGAAGCAGAGTGAGCAAGGACAAGGTGTAAAGGGTGAGGATGGACAGGAGGACACCGAGTTTGACTCTGATACAGGACTCAGTTGGAACGTTTTGAGCAAAGCCCCAACTAGCTAATCAGACTTAAAAGGATCACTCTGACTGTGGGGTGAAGAACAAAAGGAGCAAGGGTGGAAGCAGGAAAAACAGTGAAAAGATTATTTTATTAATCCACTTGAGATACATTGTGGCTTGCACAAGAGGGGGAGCAGTGACATTGGTAAGATGTGATAAATATCTACATCCATTTTGAAGAGAGAGCCAACAGGTTTACTGTCTGGTTATAAGCAGAGTTTGGGAAAATGAGATGAATCAAATATGACTACTAGATTTTTGGTCTGAGCAACTGGAAAGAAGGTTTATCATTCACTGAAATGGTGAAGACTCCCAAGTGGAACAGCTGGGGGACTGTGGGAAGATCAGGAGGGCCATGTTAGACATGAAAAGCTGTGAGGCAGGAAGAACACAGGAAGGAGACTGGTGTCCTGGATGCCAGCTGAACTGAATGTTTCTGGAAAGAAGGGGTGATTGTTGTGTCAAATGCTGCTGATAGATCAGGCAAGATAAAACCCAGGGTTGATCATTAGGTTTAGCAAAAATGAAAGTCATGGCTGACTTTGACTGGAGTTGGTGGGGGTGAAAGCCTGAATGGATTGAGTCAAGAGACAATGCAAGTCGAGGAATTGGAAATGGTAAAACAAGTATACACAACTCCTTCGAGGGGGATCGCTGCAGAACAGAGCAGAGCAAAGGGGCGACAACTTAAGAGGAAAGTGGGACAAAAGAGTGTTTTTTTTAAGATTTTGTTTATTTATTTGACAGAGAGAGAGAGCACAAGCAGGGGGATTGGCAGGCAGAGGGAGAAGCAGGCTTCCCGCTGAGCAGGGAGCCCATTCTGGGACTGGATCCCAGGACCCTGGGATCATGACCTGAGCCGAAGGCAGACTCTTAACCAACTGAGCCACCCAGGTGTCCCAAAAGAGACTTTTTTTTTTTTAAAGATTTTATTTATTTATTTGACAGAGAGAGCAGGAGCACAAGCAGGGGGAACAGCAGAGGGTGAGGGAGAAGCAGGCTCGCCGCCAAGCAGGGAGTCCGATGCGGGGGCTTGATCCCAGGACCCTGAGATCATGACCCGAGCTGAAGGCAGACGCTTAACCATCTGAGCTACCCAGGCGCCCCCCAAAAGAGACTTTTTTTAAGATGTGAAAAATAATGTCATGACTGTGGGCTGAAGAGAATGGTTCAGTAAATAGAGGGAATTTCTGGAGACACATCCTTGTCCTTGAGTAGGTGAGAGGGGGTGGGGTGGGAGTGAGAGACCCTGTGAAAGTGTTGATGGGAGCATAGAAGATTCTTCTGGAACAGGAGGGGAGATGTTAGTGGGTGGGGTGACATGGTGGTGTGAGTATGTGGAAATCCTCTTCTGGTTGCTTGCTTGCTTGCTTGCTTGCTTTTTATTTCTTCCTATTTATTTAAATTCAGTTAGCCAACATATAGTGCATCATTAGTTTTTGATGTAGTGTTCAATGATTCATTAGTAGTGTATCCCAGTGGTCATCACATCACGTGCCCACCTTAATACTACTACTTTCTGAGTGAAATAAGCAAGATCATCCATTTAGAGTAAAGATGGGGAGAAGATGCTGGAAGTTTGAAGTGTGGAAGGGGGTATGAAATAGTTGTCAGGGAACGTGGGAGAGTGAGGGAACTAGGGAAATGTATTACAGTTTTACAACAGGACTAATTGCTCACTTGAAGGCAATTAATAGTAAACTTAGAGTTAGACCACTGCACAGTTTTGTTTTTTAATTCAGACACATTCATCTGTGAAGGTTTGGGCACAGACTAGGCTGAGATTTGGATTTAACCAGTATTGGAGTTTTGCCAAGTGATAGCAACCCTGTTTTTTGTAATGTGTGTTGCATACATCTTTCCTGGTTTGTGATTTGCCTTCTCCTTTTGTCTCTATTTCTTTGAACTACAGTAACTTTTATATGGTCAAATCTATTATCTTTTTCCTATGGCTTTTTGTATCTTTTTTTGTTTTGTTTTGTTTTGTTTTGTTTTGTTTTGTTTTGTTTTGCTTGAGGGATTCTTTCCTCAAGAAGGGAAGGTATAATCTTTCTTTTATACCTTCTCCAAATTTTTATGGTTGAATTTTTAACTCTTTATCTGATGTGTATGCTGTGATGCAAAGTTCTAACAAAATAGTCATCAAAATGTCCTCCTTCTCCACATTATTAAAGAAACAATTCCTTATCCTTAAGTTTGTAATTTCTTTAAAATATGTTACCTTATTATCTTTCTATATTTTATAAGTTCTCGTTCCAGGTTATCACTTCTGAGTCACCGATTTATCTGGCTATTCTCAGTACTTACAATGCTAAGTACGATGGAATCTATAATTCTTCAGCATATGATAAGGCAAACGCCAACTTCCAGCCTCTTTTTTATAAGTATTCTTTAACCATTCTTACTTATTTTTCTAGAAAGTTTTGTCATGATTCAAAAACAGGCTCCTCTTAGGGTTTGTTTGGAATCAAAAGAAGCCCTAAATCTTAATTTGGGAAATATCAATTTCTTTATAATATTTAAGTTCTCTATTCAGGAACCATGCTCTGATTGTCTACACTGGTCTTTTAAATTGTATTGGGTTGATTACTCATTCGTGTTTTTATATACTTCAGATCTCATTGAAATATAGTTTTACTTTGATTTTGCTAGAGTGATTCCTCAAGTAAATTCCCCGGAAAGAAAAGCAGAAGGTAACTTTCTGATACTTTACATAACCAAGTTTTTTTTTTCTCATATACATACGATATTTGGGGCAGATATAGAATCTTCAGATTGTAATTTTTTCCTCTTAATATTTATCGCTGGGTCCAATGGATAGAATGTTCCTTGAAACACTACTATTAAAGGGAAAAAAATGGAAAACAACCTAAATGTCAAAAAAGAAGAGAGTTATTAAATAAGTTAGTGACTAATTAGTAGGGAAGTCTATCAGCTATTTTTAAAATGAGGTAAATATATGCACATGATAAAAAAGATTATGTGGGGAAAATGAGCAGCTGTGTAACAATATGTAAACTATGATCAGATTTTTTAAAAATAAAACCCTACATGGATATATATTGGTGTATCTATTTTCATATCTATTTATC